TTCAAGTTTTGTGCAAAAACGCATGATCGCTCCGGCTCGCCTGGTGCGTTCCAGCCTGGGTTTGAGCTTGTAACGGCAAAATGATTTTGAACAAATACGACGTTTTTTACGATGAATTTTTCATACATATCGGGTACTGATTGTGATGCACAACTGCACCTGCATTCAACAAATGTTTCAGGTAAAGCATGAGGAGCAGCCGCTTACTTTTTCCTAAATACTATTGAATGCTTCAAAAAAAGAGTGTAGGGATCAAGAGGAAAGTATCAAAACGGGTAATGCCGCTTGTTAAAGATGAAATACATCCATATGTCCATATCTTGCAATCGCTCCACATAAACTGAGCAGAAACGGCTTGGGGTTTGCTTGCAAAGAGAAATTGTTTGCGCTGAGCTGGGCTAACCTCCTCTTCACGCTTCCTTGTCGTTGCTAAAGATGAATTATTCATATTTCGATATCCTTGTCTTTTTTGTACAAATCAATTAACATACTGGCTTTCTGACTTCTCGGCAACACTGAATGGCAACCAACAGTTATTGTTTGCAAAGCACGAGAATATTCGTAAAGTCCGGTATTTGGATCGCAACGTACTCGTTTCATCACTGCCACCTGTAAAAAATCTGTAACTCCTAAATTTTCATTTCATTTCATAATAGTTCAGGAGCTGTTAGAATTATTCTATAAATATGAAAATAACTGTCTAACATCACGTTGTTTTTAATACTCCTAAACAGAACCGCAAGCCAAGCTCCAAACTGTTCTTTGCCGAATCAGCAGCTCTAGTCGTTTGACCTGATTTCGATTACTAGCGTTTGACCCAACTTTTGTTGATTTATTTTTGAATTTACCGAACCTCTTGCCCATCGACTTGTCAATCAATAAGATGCAACGCGGCAGCGATTTGGAGTTAAACTAGCGCTATTTTTAAGTCCCAGTGAGGTTTCTTAGTCGTTTATTCAGAAGTTTTACTAAAAAAAGCTTATCAAAAAAGACTTCAGAAGTTTCAAAAAAAAAATGAGAATTATGACTGAAATACCTGTCGCTTAATTGGCATACAAAATGAGCCAGGATTGCCGCGACTGCGACGGCATAAGCAGTGCGCTTCGGAGATGATCTTTGGCTCTCGATTTTCATCATGATTTAACCTGAAAAATACTTTAAATGAATTTCAATAGTTAGCGGCATGCAGCAGCTTTGGCGGTGCGACCGCGCATTTTTGTGTGCAGTAAAATCAGTTGTTTTACAATTTGATTTGATCAAACAAGTTGGTAATGTCCTTGGTTGACATGCTCATTCTGTTGCGAGTACGAGTGTTAGTTGGGCAAAAAGTTTTGCAGCGGAGGAAGGACGAAAGGGACTGCGATGAAATTTCAGTTTTTTGGCATTTGTGATTACCGCTGGATGATCACACATGCCTGAAGTTTTGCCGTGCCCGCGTGCAACGTAAGTGTATGTGAAGGTTTGTGTTTGAAGCCGTAAACGGGGAATTAAATTTTTCGTAAAATTTTAGCTTTCTAGTCTCTCTGTTTTCCCATAAAGGTGCTCGCCAGCAGTTAAAAGAAAGCAAATTGAACATCTGACATGTCCGAACGGAAGGTAATATGAGTACGTGTAAACCTTCTTTAAGCTTGCGAGCTCGCACATGAATGCCGAACGTCTTTATAAAAATAAGGTCTAAATATTCAGTCTGATTCCTGAGCTAAGTGTGTGCTAACAGCATCCCAGCTAGAAGTTTCACTTGCTCGCACGCGATGTCTAGGCTTGTCTCAAAATTGAATTTAAAATCTTTAAGCCACACATGAGTGTAGGATATCTTCATGAAATTTTAGCTTCCGACTTTGACTGGTTCCGAAATCGTTCCCGCCAAACATCTTTGACATGCTCGTACGCGCAGCATAGCGTACGTCATAGCTGGATTTTAAACCTTTGGCTCGCACGTGAATAAAGAGTATGCCCGAGAAATTTGAGATTTCTTTCTTGCCTATTTCACCAATTCATTTCCTTATGCGTTTTTGCCATGGAGCGCTATACTGCAACGACCCTGTGTGCGTATTTATGTATGTGTTCGTCTGTCTGGATATTCAAGCTGTGCGTGCGCTAGAAACACCCCTTTAAAATTTCAATCTCCCAGCTCTACTGGTTTCCGAGTTAGCCATTTTCCTGCCAAAAAATTTCACGGCCGTACATGAAAACCACGCATGCTTGGGAGCTGAATTTGATAACTTTAAGTTGTACATGGGCTGGAACATCCCCTTGAAATTTCAGCCTTTTAGCTTTTATGGTTCCCAAGTTAGCGATTTTCCCACTAGGAACCCTCACGGGACCGTCCGCAGGAACCACGTACCTGGGGGCTGAATTCGAAATCTTTAAGTTCCAAAATGAAATAACCTCAAAATTTCAGCTTCCTAGCTCTTCTGTTTCCCAATTTGACGATTTTCCCACTAGGAACCTTCACAGGGCCGTTCGCTGAAACTATTTATCTGGCGGATGAATTTGAAATCTTTGAGTTCCATGTGGACACAGTCTCAAAATTTCAGCTTTCTAACTCTTCTGGTTCCCGAGTTACCGACTTCCTGACAAAATTTTCACTCTCTCGTACGCGGGACCTGCATGAGAGTTGGTAACGTGGCTCTTGGGTGGTGCTTGCCCGGGGAACCCACTGGCAAAATTTTGGCGTTGGAGGTTGCTTGTTTGCCGAGTTGAAACACCCGGACAGATGAACATACACACATATACACACGCGTGCATACACGCACAAACACACACACACACACACAC